AAAAAAAAAAAAAAAGACAGAAAAATGACCTTACTGTGCAGAGAAAAAGAACCTAGAGAGAAGAAAACCAGGCACGTTGCCTGCAAATTTATATCTCCCCTCGGGGATGGAAATTTGTTCCTAAAAGAATGGAAACTGTAGAAGAGAAGCTGAACAAATGAATAAAGTTACTGGTGTTGCTTACATTTTTCATAATAGTAATAATTTCCATTTTTATTCTCCTTTAGATTTTAGCAAAGTTCACTTAGAAAATTCTAGATTGGTTTAGCTGTGGTTAAGAGAGCTAAGAAAATTCTCTTTCTTGTCTTTTCTTTTTTTGTATTTGGGCCAAATTTCCAGGTGAACCAAGAGAAACCGTAGGGAGACTATGAGGTAAACTTCAAGGGGACACACTTTTAATTGGGTTTACTTGGCAACCTGTCTCTCCTGATTTGGATATTTGCCTTCCAGGGGTATGACCTGGTCATTTTTATATAGCTCTCTATTTTAATGAGACTGTTTCCACAGGAGGCTGTTCATGTCGAAATCTGGAGAGCAGAAATACTGCTAAAAGAAATCCTAAGTCCTCTAAAAGAGATCACATTCCTGGGATCCAGATTTTGAACATATATAATATATATAATCATAGTTTAATCTTTTAATCTGCCCCACCCACACATCCAGGAGGCAGAGCAGAAAATGAAAAATCAGACCATTTCTTTATTAAGGGTATTTACATACTAGGGTTACGTTCTCTTCACTATCTATTGGTAATACACTTTAACCAGACTAAAACATTGTTAACCTCATCATCATAATTATCAATTAAAATAATTTAAGCTTTTACAAAAGACATCCTACTGATATCATGTATCAAATTATCAGTAGAGTTGTCAAATTTTCTGATCATGGCTGTGTTTCCTCTCATGGAAAATATTAAGACTTTCACAGCATGTATTGATCCATCGTTCCCTCTGATTCTGTGGATCCATTTATGGGCGAAGTTCTAAGATCTCAGCATAAATTCTTACCTGTGAATTCTTCTTCAAATCCTGTTCCTTAGCATTGCCAGAATGAGAGATTAAAATCCTTTTCAAATTCTACATTTTTTTTCTTTTGAGATGGAGTCTCGCTCTGTGGCCCAGGCTGGAGTGCAGTGGCTCCATCTTGGTTCACTGCAACCTCCACCTCCTGGGTTCAAGCAATCCTCCTGCCTCAGTTTTCCAAGTAGCTGAGATTACAGCGCCCATCACCATGCCCAGCTAATTTTTGTATTTTTAGTAGAGGTGGGGTTTCACTGTGTTACCTAGACTGGTCTCAAGCTCCTGACCTCAAGTGACCTGCCTGCCTCATCCTCCCAAAGTGTTGGGATTACAGGCGTGAGCCACCATGCCCAGCCAAAGTCTACTTTTAAATAAGGTAAATGTGGGCTGTGTTTTAGACCTTAGTAATATATCTGAGTCACATGGCTCAGTTATGAGATAAGTTACATGAAAGCCATTTGGCCATTACAAAAGGAACACAAGCTATTTCTTCTATTTGGATTCATTCATTCATTCAAAAATATTTGTTAAATATCTATTATGTGACAGACATGGTAAATAATAAGCACTGGAGTTTTAAAAGTGAACAAAACAAAGTTCTGCTCTCATGACGCTTACATTCCAGTGGGATTAGAGAGACAGACAGATGTATATGTCAGGTAGTGCTCAGTGCTGAAGTGGGGAGTTTGGGGGTGGGTTACAGGAAAAGGGACATGATGGAGGAGGGAGTTAGTTGTGAGAAGAGCTAAGAGCGTGCTAGACAGAGGAACATGTGAAGGCTGCATGGGCAAGCAAGCACTTGGCCTGCTAGCAGAAGAGGAAGGAGTCCAGTGTTGTCCACCAGCGTGAGAGCTGGTGGAGGGAGCCGGATGACAAGGGACGTTCTATGTAATCCTTTTGACTGGGCTGATGGAGCACATGAGCTGAAAATACAAACCAGTAAATAAAATAGGTTCCAGGATAGAACAAACAATATATTTCACCTGGAAAAAAAATCGTGTATGGGAATGCCTATTTCATTGTCTTTTTCTCTTTTTAAGACGGAATCTTGCTCTGTCGCCAGGCTGGAGTGCAGTGGTGCGATCTCAGCTCACCGCAATCTCTACCTCCCGGATTTAAATGATTCTCCTTCCTCAGCCTCCCTAGTAGCTGGGACTACAGGCGCGCGCTACCACACTCGACTAATTTTTAGTAAAGACAGGGTTTCACCGTGTTGGCCAGGATGATCTTGATCTCCTCCTGACCTCTTGATCTGCCTGTCTTGGCCTCCCAAAGCGCTGGGATTACAGGCGTGAGCCACTGCGCCCTGCCGGGAATGCCTATTACTTAAATATTCCACCCCCCCCCCCCCGAGACGGAGTGTTGCCCTGTCGCCCAGGCTGGAGTGCAGTCTCAGCTCACTGCAACCTCTGCCTCCCGGATTCGAGCAATTCTCCCGCTTCAGTGTCCTGAGTAGCTGGGATTACAGGCGCGCACCACCAAACCCAGCTAATTTTTAAATTTGTAGTAGAGAGGGGGTTTCACTAAGTTGGTCAGGCTGATCTCCAACTCCTGACCTCGTGATCCGCCTCCCAAAGTGCTGGGATTACAGGCATGAGCCACCAGCCAAATTAGGAATTACCGCAATCGTAATCTGATTGAATTACAATGTTTTTCTAGTCTTTCTCATTATAAACCTGAAAGAAAAATACTGAACTAAAAATCCAAAACTGAACAAGTAACTATGAGCAGGGAGGGGGAAAAAAACTATGAGAAGAATGTCATTTGCTGTTAATGTACACAGAGGTTAACACTGAAAAATCCAATAGGGGCTGAAACATAGTACCAAATTCCAAAAATTCAAGCAGTGGGTTTGTTTACATAACTGTCTTTTATACTTAAAGACAAAGTTACTGAGGTAATTTTTATCAACGGGTGTAGGTGTCCATTGCATAGGAGGTGGAGGATGTCTCCTCCACATAGCTCGGATAAAAAAAATGTATCCTGTACTTTGCGGTTGGAGCCCTCCTTGGGAGAGTTTGTGATGTATCTTCTTCCCGACTGTACCAATCTTAAATCGTCCCATCTGCTTCCCTTTGAACTAGCAGTCCACGTCAAAGCTTCATTCTTTTACATTGTTGTTTTTTTCCTAACCACTTCCCCAAGTGGAAGTGCACAAAACATCCCTAAATAGATCTCCCAGCCACCCCAGGCTGCTACCACAGTTTGGTTATGTTACTTGATTATCAGTCTTCTGGACCACTTGCTTTGCTTGCATTGAGTTTTTATTATGGAGACATACTGAAAATCTCCTGAACAAATGTTATTTGGGGAGAATGACCATATTCAACCATCACGGACGGACACCATACAGCTAGCTCAGAGTGCAAACACTCAATCTACGAATAATAAACCTACGCATTACTTTAAGAACCAAAAGCTGATGGGCACTTGGTTTACACATCACTCTGAGACAAAGTACGGAAATCCCTCCCTTCCTAATGCATCACGAGCTACTGGGGGCAGGCATCATAGTTGTTTTGCTCAAACCTGATGGTGAATTAACATGTAAAGTACTTTAGTGTTTTCGTAAGGCGCTAAGTAAATTAGTTGTTATTCTCACAACCTGGCATATAGGAAGAGTTCAATGTTGGGTAGAGGAATGAATAAAGAACCTACTTTTTCAGATTCTTATTATCCCAACACTGGAAAACAATGATTATGGTCACAGTGCTGAGGATCATAATTGCGATGGCACATACCCACCACCTAAAGCACAATAATTATCAGATTATTGCAGGGGGAATGGTTACTTAGGCTGGAGAAGAGAGGCGAGTCTGGGTGAGTTCCGTCTAAGCTCTGAGACAATAGAGGCCGCCTCTCTCACAGCCTTCCAGCCCTGCAAAAGGACCTCTTCCTAACTTCCACCCCCAGGAATTCCCCTAACCCCAGTTTCAAGGGGCGGAGAACAACCAGAATCTTTGTCAGGTCCGCTACGCCACGCCCCCTCCTCTCCAGAACCCCGCCCAGGCTGACGTCCCCTTCCCCCGCTAACTCCCCTCGCCACAGCCGCTCCCTTTCCCCTATTCCCCCGCCCCGCGGCTCGGCCGTCCCAACGCCGCGCAGGAGAGCAAAGAAACAGCTGGCGGAGGAGTGGCGGCCGCAGTCTCCCGGGAAGAGCGGCCCGCCGGGAGGGGGCGGGGCGGGGCC